GCCCACTTAAACCAAAAACGTGGGTAATTTTTTTTCTTAATATTTCCTGTCACATACCAGGTGTTGAACTAGATATGAATAATAGCAAAGTAGGTCGGTTACTATAAAAAATCTGGTAATTATCGGTTAAAAACACAAAATAGGCTAAACTTACTACAGCACCAGTATTCACATGTTCGACTAAAGGAAAGTCAGTAACAGACGGCTCCGTCTGAGGAGCAATTTGGCTGGCTAAATTCTCAGTAGGCATCTCCACAAGCTGATTCAGACTAGCCACTATGGATGTGTTGATGTTACCGTTCTTCACAAAATGTCCGTTAGCCACGTTGGCAATGCAAGGGGCAGGAGGGACTATTGTAGCATCTACAGAAGACAAAATAGGACGGAGAGTGGCTACCGAGCTGGAAGATGAAGCAATGCAAGTTGGTGGAGCAGGAAGAGAGGATAATGAAGATGAAGAAGACGAGGAAACGATAAATGGAGAGTTGCTTGAAATACCGACTGGGTTACTGGTGCTGGCTGAATTTATTCTAAAGGAGGGGACTGGCTTGCCAGTGCTGACTGACGAGTTAGGAGTAGTAGAAACGGTTAATTGGGTAACGGTGGTGCCATTCACTCGTAGAATAGTAGGTGTGCCATTTTTATCGCAGTTTTTCATCAAGATAACGCGAGATGTGCAGCCTTAAGAATAAAAGAAAGATAATCCAAATTAGCATAGGCCAAAAACAGCTGAGAGTACAAAATACTAATCTCATAATGATATTGGAGTTAGGCTTTTAAAACGTTTTACGTTTAAACTAATGACAGAACCAATAATTTAAAAAGTTCCGATTGAGATCTTATAATGGATCATTTTTTCTCAAATTTAGCTAAATATTTAATTCTGTTTGTAAATATAATATTGATAAAACAAAGAAAAAGAGATGTTCAATTTTAATTGCGACCGTCAAAAAGACAAGTTATATATAACTTTAACTAAACGAAAGCTAAAGTAATCAACCTCATTTAGTTACATTTACCAGTATTTCAAATCATAAAACTATTAATCGAAGCTATGATGACTAAGGTGTGGCCTTTTGTGTTGTCGCAGTCTCCTTTCGTTGTATAGAAGTTGTCTTACCTTGTTTTAGCAACATGATCATATTGGTAGAAAGACATAGAGGAACACACCTAGTTCGAAGTCAATAGCATGCACGATAATTTCCAGTCGGATCGTGAACGTGGTACTCTCTTGCCCCGTAGGATCCGTCTGCTATCTCCCTAGTTCAAGTATTTCACTCGACCCCTGTCACCCCATCTGTGCTAATCTAGGCACTATTTTCCACGCTCTGCATCTGAGAGACTTACTTGAGGCTAAATCCTCTGAGTCATAATCATGGTCAAGCATTTGCTTCATAGAGCACGTCTATGGTAAAACAGGCCTACTGTCAGCCAACTAGCTCTAGACTCCGCCGCGTCTATCCTGTTTCTATCCCTAATACCAAGTCTATGACTTCCTATGCCCTAGTCTCTTGTGTGCCAATCCACAAATGGTGTGGTTCAATAGTGAACCTAATTAAAGCAAGCAGTATCGCAACATTTGTGGGTTGGCGCACAAAAAACTAAGGCATAGGAAGTCATAGACATAATATTAGGGATAGAAACAGGTTTGACGCGGCCGAGACTAGAGCTAGTAGGTTGACAGTAAGCCTGTTTACCATAGACGTGGTCCATGAAGCAAGGGCTTGACAATGAGAATTACGCAATGGCTTTAGGCCGACGAAACGTCTGGAAGTTACCACGTCCATGGTCCAGCTCTGGAAATTATCATGCATACTGTGGACTCCGGATTAGGTTCGTTCCTCTATCACAAGTCAAACAACTTCCATAAATTGAATATATGAAGACCAAGATGTTGTGGCCTCTGGTGTGGTCGCAGTCTCCTTTTGATTGATAGAAGTGGGTCGACCTCGTTGTCGCAACTTGGTCTTGTTTTCAGGGAGACCATGTAGAACGCA